CATGGAAAAGAAAAGCCACACAAGTGCTCCAAGTGCAGCAAAGCATTTTACTCGGCTGGCGAACTTCGCAGACACATGTCAGTGCATTCGGAGGCTCATCCATTCAAGTGTGCTCTATGTGAGAAGTCCTTCAAATCTGTTTTGTTTTTGAATGTCCATATGAAGCGCCATGGCACTGAAAAAGGCTTCAAGTGCTCAAAGTGTCCTGCAGCATTCAAAACTAGCAGCGACCTGGCTGGTCATATGGTGTTTCACAAAACTGAGAAGAGGTTTACGTGCGAGCAGTGTGATGCCAAGTTTGTGACTTCCAAACTTTTGAAACAGCACACATTGATACACTCCGATGTTCGTAATTTCGCCTGCCAGTTCTGCTCATTTAGAGCAAAAACAAAAGATGTATTGGTGAATCACGAAAAAACGCATCTGGCTAGAGAACATCGAGACGTTTTCTCTTGCGCATCTTGTGAAAAGACTTTTCTTGACAAGCAGAGCCTAGTGTACCATATCAAGGAAAAGCACTCAACTTCGAAAGTCATGCTGGAGTGTGAAAAGTGTCACAATGTTTTGCATACTGGAAAGTCATTCGAACGTCATCTGCGTACATGTGGAGCGGAGCGAAAGTATGCCTGCAAAGAATGCGAGATGACCTTCACGACCCAAAGTTATTTGAATCGACATTTAATTCGGGTTCACACGAACGACAGACTGTTTGAGTGCCAGGAATGTTCGTCTTCTTACAGAGTGAAAGAGAGGCTCATGGAGCACATGAAGAGTCGTCACAGAACGGTTCCAAAGAACTCGACAGCTCTGGACGATGATTGACGGTACTTCAGCTCATTCCGAATTACCTTTGTCGCATCTGAGAAAGAGAGAGAGAGAGAGAGAGAGAGAGAGAGAGAGAGAGAGAGAGAGAGAGAGAGAGAGAGAGAGGAGAGAGAGAGAGAGATGGAGAGAGAGAAAGAGAGAGAGAGAGAAAAAAATGTGGTCGGGAAAGGAAACCAGCAGTTCTCCTTGGGATGTTGCCCGTATATACAAGGACGGTCGACCATGCCGTGACTCGGGTTCCACTTAGCCATGCATTTATTCGCCGACCACCGGAAACATTCCTCGCTTTCAGATTGTCAGACGATGTTCATGTAAAAACTGGAACTTATAATCAATTGGTCATAGAGCTTGCATAGTAATAGTCATTGTCGTTGCTACTTGTAGCGGGATTTAGATAGTGAGCGATCTATTATGGGATTATTTGCGCGCACTTTTAGCGCTCGGGTGGAGCCCCGGTGAGACAGTTGGTTATTCTTATTACATAGACGTATTGACATAAATGGGAAAGGCAATGGGAACGTGTTGTTTTTATATTAAAATTGGTTACACATGTGTTTCGGGAATAATCCCTTCACCCCGTTCGACCTCGATTGTATTTGGATATAGCTACTTTTATATGGTGTGATCAAGGGATTATTCCCGAAACACATGTAACCAATTTTAATATAAAAACAACACGTTCCCATTGCCTTTCCCATTTATATCAGTTGGTTATTCACTCGGTGCTTACTGACAGGAGACGGCGCGTTATGGGAACATTAACATAGGGCGGTGGCCATAAGGCATAGGATGGTTAGGATATATTAACATATATTGGGATATTAAGTAGATAGTTTACATAGGGTGAAACGCGTTCCTTGGGCGGTGGTCCGCCCCATGTGTGTTCTGAGCCCGCCGGTCCCGCCAGCAGCGACCGTCGCTCACCGAGCGGTGGCCAGTCGAGTGGAGTCGGACGCCATGGCCGGGCTGCTCCACCGTCTGACAGTGTGGCAATGACCGCTGTGACGGACGGTGGCTGAAGCGGATCCCGAGAACGGAGCCGAATCGTTATGTGTGTAACGTAATCTAACAGTGCTAGGCGCTCAGCAGATCGCGTACCGTGCTGAATCCAACTTGTTGCTGATTTACTCCGTACTGTGCTGACTTGACCCCTCACTGGTAGTATAGTGCTGTGCTGGCTCAAACTGTCACTGGTTGTATATCGCAAGCTTTTATTATTCATGTCTTTTTTACGGCAGTTCCTGGCTTATGCCAATGGCTCATGTCGCTACCTCACCTGATTACCATGGAATATAGTTACCGTAAAGTGGGGCTATTTGAGACAGTGGGGCTATTTGAGTCGAGACAGTATTTAAAATCGCTATAAAATGAAGATCGTTTTATTTTTGTGTGATATTTTTGCTCAGGGAGGTGTGGAATCGAGCAGTAAATCGCCTGAGCAAAAAATTAAGCATAAATTTTAAATGGTTTTTATTTTATAGCAATTTTAAATACTGTCTTAAATAGCCCCACTGTCTCAAATAGCCCCACCTTACGGTACTAAGGATGACTAAGGATTTTCGGCCAACGTAAGTGAGCGCATGCCTTGTGATTATGCAGTCTATCAGTGCACACTGCAGCTCTGAGAGCGTTGGCGGACCGGCACTGGTATAGGCCATCTGTTAATGTAAATACATTCCTGCCCGGGGCTGGGAAAATTTAATTGTGTCACCGAGTTTTTTAATTGAAAGTACCGAGGGCCGGTAGGCCCGAGGTACTTTCGATTAAAATACGAGGTGACACTATTAAATTTTTCCAGCTCAGGGCAGGAAGCTATTTCCCATACATGCGTACCATTATAGGGAGCGTTGCGAATGTTTTGGAGGAACCAAAACGCCCCAATTTCAACCTTGTTGAGTCTTTCCTGGTTATGGTTTGTTGCGAAATAGCGTCAAAGTTTTATATGGTGATGTTTCACTTTATTCATGACAAATAATAAAATCCTTGCATCAAACACAATGTAGGTAGGTATATCATAAGCCAATCAAATAAAATGGACGATAGATAAAATGAAGTTATAAGGAGCAAAGTGATGCTCTTCAACTTTATGATGTGACGTCATTCATAATGACGTCATATAGTTGAGAGGTGCAGGAAAACGCCGAGGGGTGCAGGAAAACGTCGAAAGGTGCAGGAAAACATATTTTCCTGCATGTCTCGGAAACCAATCAGCATTGACTTCTTGTATGTTTCAAAAGTGCAGGATAATGCACGTGCCATTTTAATGCCTGGCTTTCTCGATTTAAACGTGCAATGTTGCATGTATGGGAAAACAGATCCGGCCCCGTGTTGAATCAAACGACCCCTGCAGGTGGAGTGTTTGTGTTCCGTAGCGGGTCAGCTGGAGGGCGTCTGGTGTGAGTATTATGCCATAGCTTACAGTGAAGCAACACAGGCAATGCTATGTTATATGAGCAGATGATGGACTGGTATCAGGTCAGTGAAGCTACATAGCTACAACGCAATCTCTTGTTCAGTGTCAATATTAGTTGCAATATGATGATCTTACCGCTGTGCCAGTCAGTGTTTTGTACGATAAATAAATTCCATCGTTAAACGTCTTTTGCGTTTGGATTTACCTATTTATATATCGGGCTAAATTTCTTCTATGAATTGAGTTGGTAAATAATGATGTTTCCTAAACGTGGACACATTCTCTTTTCACAATTGCACACCTACTACGAGGGGGTATCGAAAAGTTCTGATCATCACATAGAAAATATAGACCGATTTTGATGATTTTTGGTTGGTATTATATTTGGTTATTAAGAACAATGTTCCCGCAACGACAATCCTGAGAAGTGGTTTTATCTTATGTAGGAGAGACTTAGAAGTAAAAAAGATGAGCATTGGGCCCATTGAGGGCCGAACCGTCATCCATTTAATGCATTTGAAACGGTATCACACTGAGAAAATACATCAAGAACGTGAAATTAGTTTATGGCGAGGAAAGCCCATCTCATGCACTTACCGAAAATGAAGAAATAATTTTCAGCTTGGTTGCATGGCCCTTGCAGGGGAGTCAAGAAGTGAGTGACTACCAATGACTGACAAGGTGGTGACTGTGAAGGAAGTGGAGGACCTCATCCTTACAGATCGTCGTATGACCTTTCAGATGGTTGAGCAACAATAAGGTCTCAATGCTGGCAGTGCCTGAAAATATTATCAGCAAAGAACTACAGACGATAAAGGAGTCAGCCCGCTGAGAAGTTCGTGTGTCTACTTTGTTCAAGAGAAAAATGCGTCTTGGCCTTTCGAAATGAAAACTAGGCCTTTTTTAGGAAATTGAAGACACCTTCGATCATTTGATGACTTGCGACGAATGCTGGGTCTATGTGTATAATCCAGAGACAAAAAGATGGTCAAGAAGTTTAAGCACGGCACATCTGTCCTTCTTAAAAGGCGAAGATGCAGAAGCCGATATGGAAGGTCAAAGCTTTCAGTGTTCTGGATCTGGCGTAGGATAGTCATTACCGACTGTCTTGATGATGGTCGGATAATGACAAGCAAGCACTACTGCACACTTTTGAAGAAGTTGCGAGATGGCCTCAAGCAGAACCGCCGCAAAAAAGCACAAGAAAGATGTTTTATCCGCACCGATAGCGCCCCCGCCCATTCGTCCTGAGCTGCGATTGAAGAAACAACATGATGTGGACATTAAATCCTACCGCATCTAAGAAATTCACCTGACCGGGTATTAACTGACTCTTGATTGTTACGGGAGATTAAAAATCCACAGTATGGCCGGTGATTTAAGGACAGAAATGACGTCATTGATGAGGTGAAGCACTGATTTACGGGACAGTGCGCAGGTCCTACAATGACCGCCTGAGGCAGCTCAAGAAACGATGCAATAAGTTTGCGGTCGTGTGTGGTGACTTGTAAAGGAGTAATGAACATCATGTAAAAAAATCAAATTTCTATCACATCTAATTCATGGTGATGATCAGAACTTTTCGATACCCCCTCGTACAAGCTGTTACTTGTTAGTTGGAGCATGATATCATCATCTTGTAAGAAAAGCACAAGCACCAGTCTGCCACAGTGAAATGCCACATTCTCACAGATAGAAACGCCGTATACGGTAGTATCGCGAAACAGCTGCCACTGTGGCTCAGTTCTTGCTTGAGAAGTCACACTGCAAATTCATTTATTGGTCACATGATGCATCTGAACGAAGACAAGCCTAAAGGGCATGGAATGTTACACAAACATGCATATAATTGTACCTACAAATAAATAACACGTTCACAACGACACGATAAACTCACACCGACACTATGCCCCTTGACAATGCCCTTACATGCGCACCACTTTGTGTCGATTCTACCCTATCAGAATTTCACCGGAACACGTCGTACACAATATTTACACATTAGCATGCTCGCAACCTTATAAATACATTCATAACTGCAAGTACAGCAGCAGAGTCTCAACTAAGTAAAGTTTGTCAGCCATAATCTCCCGTTATACGAAATTCGTATGCCAGAGGAGACATTCGCTCCCACATCTACCAAGAAATGATCATATGAAACAAATAAATTCGATGATCGACCAAAATAATGAAAAGTTTAAGATAACCTAACGGTTAACCCGCGCCCAGATGGGGTCTGCCGAGCAACGCGGTCTGATGGGGGGGGGGGGGGCATTTTGGCCCCCCCCCTCAGATCTCGAGAACCACGCAACATAGCGACAAGCGGTAAACGGTGTTGGATAGCCCCAGCGGGGAACTACCTTGTGACCCAATTTCATTGACCTCGGTCAAACCGATGACGTCACAGGTCAGGTCAAAGGTCGAATTTTCACCGTTTACAGGCATTTCAAGAAATGCGTTGTAAAATCGAGTAAAATGCATTTCATTGAAAATCATCGATGGAGAAATGTTCTTCAAACACATATTTTGCTATTTGAGGTCACTGATACCAGGTCAGGTCACAGAGGTCAGGTCACTGGGGGGGTCACAATATGAAAGTGTCGTGTGATACATGTTTTATGGTCCATTTTACATGACAAATGCGATTATGTGGGTCAGACAGACTTTAGGGCCAGCTTAGGTCACGTTTTGGTCAAGGTCAGGTCAAGGTCAGGTCAAGGTCAGGTCAAATTAGGTCAAATTTCAAAGTTGATATTTTTGCATAAAATGGGTATTGATTCGATGCAGCTCGTCACGGGGAGTTCAATGGTGGTCTTCGTTTTGCGCTACAAGGTCTAGAATTGCTAAAAATTTAGTTCAAAAATTTGACGTCATCAATTTTCAACAGTTTTTTCGCTATAACTTGGCCAAAAAAAGAGGTATCGATCTAAAATTTGGTATGTATATCAAAGAGCGCAGGGACTATCACATATATTCCGGTTTTTTCGAAATTCGAAATTTTTTTGAAAATTTTTTGAGTTTTTCTAAAAAAAATCAATTTTTTTTATTTTTGGGGGTCAAAATCCCAAAATTTCGAAAATCCGAGATAGCAGTTTTGTAGCGCCGTCTTTTCTCTACACAACCACATAAAGAACTTTAAAATTGCTTGTTAACTGTAGAATTGGTGAGCGTTTCAAGATGTCATGTTTTTTGCTCATTTTTGCTCGAACATGACCTCAGTTTGACCTCAATAACTCCTGACCTGAGGTGACCTGTGACTTGAAATTTTGTGTGAAGGTGTCAAATTGATGCCCGGTAAGGTACCCAAAATTTGGCGGCGCTGCGCGCCGCCGTTTTCTCGCTATTTAAGAAAAACCACAGGGGGGGGGGGCCAAAATGGCCCCCCCATCAGGGCGCGGGTTAAGAGAGGTGGCAGCTGAGGACTGCTCACTAACGTAACAAAACACACAAACACTGAGATATTGTGCCATGCTTCGCCACCTATCAAATGTTTCATTTTTAGTTGTGTTCACTTCACATTTTTAGTCGTGTATCAGTTCGGCTGATGCGATGTAAGCTATTTTTCACTTCCAGACTTTGAATCAGTCATCATTCAAGCCTAAACCCCACATCTAACACATTCACACCTCCCATTCACACGTTCACCCGGAGCCCTGCCGCAGCGTCAGAGTCGTCGGGCGGCGGCCTGCTGGTGTTCCCGCACCCTCCGCTGGTAGTTGTGGATGGTCCAGTGGAGCGGGCCGGGGCCGTGGTGCTCGGTGGTCCGACACGAGCCGTCTTCGTCCGGGTACTGGCGGCGTGGACACACACACACGCCTCCCTCCGGGAACGGGTGGTAGGAGGCGGGACACGAGGCGGTAGGCGGCGGCTCGGCCGGCTCGCAGCGGCTCCGCTCCTCCGACCAGACCTGTTGGCATAGGGACGCAGATGATACAGGGGGCAGATACAGGGGGCACGCCTGTGGACACGGGGACAGTCGGACAGGGGACACAGGGGGTAATCAGACAGTAACACAGATAACTCAGGAGACAGAGTGCAGTCAAATAAGGGATGCCCTGTCGGACGCAGGGGACAGTTGCACAAAAGACACAGGAGACAAAGAGGGTAGTGGAACATGGGACACAGGGAACAGTCGGACAGGAGACGCAGGAAACGCCTGACAAACATGCGGACAGTCGGACATCGGCCACGTGAGGACACAGGGGACAGTCGGACGTGGGACACCTGACAGACAGTAGGCAGTCGAACATGGGTCACCTGCAGACACGTATCCATAGCCTCAGTCACCCACCTGTCCGGAGCCGCAGAAGGAGCCCGTGTCGGCGTCCACAGAAGTGATGAGCACTGGCAGACAGAGACCCTGGACGGCCCGGTAGGAGCCGGGGGCGCAGCGAGACAGCTCGTTCAGCGGCGCCTGCACCGGCTCCTCCCTGGCAGACAGACAAGTGGAACATTGGGTTAGAGTACGTGCTAGTGGGACATGGCTCATGGGTGTCCTGAGAATTTGCGGTTAAGTATTACATGCACGCTACGAGAGAGGAGGGGACGAGTGTTTGGTCTGGGCCCGAGAGGGCCTGGGTTTGTTCAGGGTTTCAGGGTTTGTTTGGTCTGGGAGAGGGAGAGGGTTCTAGGTTTCATCAAAATAGGTAATAAGGTGGGCAACCTCTAACGTAGGCTGTATAATGTTTATGTATGTGACCATAGAACGGTTTTTGAGCTGATTCAATATCGGGCTGAAGTCATGTCTTTGAAGAGTCTGAGTTGTTCTCAAACGACTCGTACTCGTTAAAGATGCTAACCTCCACGAACCATGAACCATGAATCAACTCAGCCCGCTACAACCCCTTCAGACGACTCTGGAGGCGCTGTAGTCGGATCTGAGAAGGTGGCACCACGATCGAGCGTGTGCACTGAGCACGTGAATGAGGGCTGTCGATGAATGCACTAACATCAGCTGTTCAAAATACGGACATTGTGATTGAAAAAAGGTACAATCACCTTTCTTCCATGGCTGTCCGTCTGAAATACGGACAGCCACATATGTATTTGTAATATGCTGCACGATATCATTTCAGACGGCCGCGAATAATGGCGATTGCCAGAGGAGAATACGGCGAGGACTAAACGTCTACCACGACGTAGTTCAGACCGTGCCAACAAGACGGTACTTACTGGTTACTCTCGTGAAGTGGTTGACAGAGGGGACTGATTCCATACTCATCCAACTTAAGTCGGAAATCATCACTGCACGGCCCCTGAGTGCCAAGCTGGTAACATCTGAAACAGCGCAGCGATTCAATGGTAAAGCAGAGGAAATGTCGACAGCATGAATACAATCGAGCAGCTGTGGTTACTGTCATGTTGGTATGACAGGATTTTAACACATTTCATAAACTTTTATTAGCATAAAAAGTCATATGGGTGAACTTTTATTACCAAAATGCTCTGACAAGCTAAAAGTAAAATGTCTAGCAGGTTAAGTAGTCTCTCAGCTGACCTGTCAGTGACCTTCCAATACACGAGTTGTTGCGGCGGCGGCAGGTCGAGCAGGCGGGCGCGCGGCACCCTGGACCGCTCCTCCCTAGAGCGCAGCAGTAGCGGGCAGGGCGACTGGCGGCAGACGGCACGGCCGGCGCTGGCCGAAAACTCCAGCCATTGACCGGGCGGACACGGTCCTGTGGGGGGGGGGGGGGGTATGTTAGGGCAGGTCTGGCGCTGAGTGCGCAACCGATGCAGGCACAGCTCAAGAGTCAGCACACAGGTTATACAGTCTATCAGATGTCCCAAACGCTATCTTATCTGCTCCGTCATGTTTACCAACAAGTTCTGTACCTCAGAGATTGGGCACAGTTACGTTTAGGGCGGCCAAGTGCGCTGCCTCTCACTCGCGTGCCTTGCGCCGCCGCTGGCGAACCGTCAGCTGACGACGAGGGTCGGCGAGCCGGGATGCCGCGACTCGTCTCTGATACGGCCTTGGGCGACGCTAATGGAATGCTGCGCACGGTTTGGTGAGAGACGGGCCACGCGCGGCTTCCCACAGTGCTGCTGGCCGCGCCGCCATGCTGACTGTTGTGCTGATTGTGTGCCTGGTGCTGGCTGTGCTGTGGTCACAGCGAGTGCGACGACCGCCAAACTTTCCACCAGGTGAGAACATCGATCACGTATTGATGGGAAAATGTAAAATTGAGTTGACCTCAAGTCCTATTCAGGTCGAATCAGATCAGTTAAATTTGGCAATGCTTACATGCGTCAACCGAAGTGCTGAACCCATGGCTTTGATCTACTACAATGAAGTTCCGTGTAAACTAATTTTACCATATTCACACCGAGAACTAACATTAACTTTGCGACTCTTTCAGGGCCACCGACATTCCTGATCTTTGGCAACCTGTACCAAACATGGAGAACTGTAAAAGGGGACTTCAACTCCTTGATCAAAGAAGATCGGCAAAAATATGGAGACATTTTTGGGTACGTTATGCCAAATATGAAGATTGTTCACCTCTTTAATTATGAACTGATCAAAGAATCCTGTGGCATGCAGGAGTTTGCAGGAAGAGCTAATAGCTTTTTAATTCTTTACCGAAGCTTCCAGAAGAAGCTTGGAGTGATATTCAACGATGGTGCTGCGTGGCAGGAGCACCGACGCTTTACTCTGCGGCATTTGCGTGATTTGGGTTTCGGAACTAATTCCATGGAGACGATCGTTCTGGAGGAATTCGAGCAGTTGGCCAAAGAAATGGAGCGTGACATGCACTCGCCGATGAAGGTAAACCAAAGATTCAATGTGACGGTTCTGAACGTGCTCTGGAGACTGGTCGCCAATAAACGCCTGGACCACGGCGACCCTGAGGCTCAGAAGCGGGTCACCGAAGTGAACGATTTCGTTACTGTCGTTGGTCCTAGCAATCCACTGATCGTGGCTCCATCTCTGCGTTTCATCGCCCCGGAATGGTCCGGCTTCAGCGCGCTGAAACGACACAGGGACTCTTCACTGGCCATGTTTCAAGGGCTGATGCAGGAGCATCGCCAGACGCTGGACCGCGCCGCGCCTCGCGACTTCATCGACCGCTTCCTCATCGAAATGGAGTCACCGGACGCGGCGGCGCGCAGCTTCACCGACGAGAGTCTCTCCATCATCTGCATGGACCTGTTTCTGGCGGGCATGGAGACCACCTCCACCTCTCTGACCTGGGCGCTGCTGCTGCTGGTGATGCACCCGGACGTGCAGACGCGCGTGCAGCAGGAGATTGACGCCGTGCTGGGCGTGGGCGCCGATCGCCGTCTGCCCTCCTACAGCGACCGCGCCAACATGCCGTACACGGAGGCCACTCTGCAGGAGGTGTCGCGACGCGCCACCGTGCTGCCGCGCGCCGTCGGCCACGCGGCGCTAGTGGACGCTCCGCTCGGCGGCTACACCGTGGCCAAGGGCTCCCTGGTGTTGATGCACCTGGATGCGGTCCACATGGACCCCTCCTACTGGGGAGATCCGGATAACTTCCGGCCGGAGCGCTTCATCAACGCCGACGGCACCTTCCGACGTGACGAGCGGGTCATCCCCTTCGGCGTCGGCAAGCGGTTCTGCCTGGGGGAGACGCTGGCGCGCATGGAGATGTTCATGCTGTTCACGTGCCTGCTGCAGCGGTTCCGGTTCTCGGCTGCTCCCGGGCAGAAGCTGAGCCTGGAGAGCCGCGTGGCAGCCGTTCAGCAACCGATGGAGTTCTTGGTGAACATCGAGGTTCGGGGCTGAACGTGTCACCTAGACCCTGACTGTTCGATGAGATGGTACTGGTGAGAAAGTGCGACAGTTACTACCTTGTACTTCGGTGTAACAATGTATTCGCTCCATGTACATGTATTTTTATGTGATTTATATCATTTGGCACAGTTCCTACTCTGTCGATGACTAACGTCCAATTTTTGCTGATTGACTTGTGGTACTGCAAAGGTGCTTGCGAAGGCGGCATTCAATTTCAATTTTATAAACTTCGTTATCTAGTCTAGATATAGGCATTGACTGACATATTTGTATTTTCTCATTTCGTCCAGCTTCGATGCAGAGCTGACATAATAATAAATATAATCGATGCATCCCGTAACCCGTTGCCCCGTGCTCGTATCGCATCGCGTTAACTTTTTAATAAAAACTCAATATGTATAAACATTTGGATCGGCCCCTCACCTTGTCGGTAGAGCGGGAAGCACTTGTCGGACGGCTCGTGGTAGAACTCGCCTGGGAGGCAGTCACATACCTTCCTCCCGTCCTTGGCACCCAGGAATCGGAACCCTGCGGCACACGTCACGAACAGGCGTGATTACAAGCAGCGTAGACGAACATTAGGGAGGGAGTTAATGGACAGCTTTAAATTGGTCACTTACTTAGCCAATCGGTAAATAGGTATGCGCTATTACGAATACATCCTTGTTCGTGTCAGTAGCGTCCGTTAACCTTCCAGGCGGTGGGGGGGGGGGCATTTTTTTGCCCCCCCCCTTTAGTTTTTTCGATATATCTCGAGAACCGCTGCGCCGATCGTCACCAAACTTTCAGTACCCTCCCGGGAGCAGCTAGCGCACATGGTAACCAAATTTTTTTTCCAAAGGCTTTGATAGGCTGGCCGCTAATGACGTCAGAGTGACGTCATTTTTGCCATTTTCGACCCAAAAAAGGTTTCGCGGGAAGAGCTGTCAGGCCTACAGCTTTAGAGATACAGAAAAATGTTTCAGACATAAAAGGTGTGGAATTAAAAGGGCTACAAAACTGCTATTTCGGTTTTTCGAATTTTTGAATTTTGACCCCCAAAAATCAAAAAATAGATTTTTTTAATATAATAGCAAAAAAAGAATCCAAAAAGTTTTTTGAATTTCGAAAAAACCGGAATATATGTGATAGTCCCTACCGCCTTCTATCTACATACCAAATTTGAGATCGATACCTCTTTTTTTGGCCAAGTTATAGCGAAAAACTGTTCGAAATTGATGACGTCAAATTTTCAAACTCCATTTTTAGCAATTCCAGACCTCGTAGCGCAAAACATAGACCACCATTAGACTCCACGTGACGAGCTGCATCGAATCGATACCCATTTTATGCAAAAATATCAACTTTGAATTTTGACCTTTTTTGACCTGACCTTGACCTGACCTCCACCAGAAACTGACTTCAACCGTACCTGATGGTCTTATAACCAACACCATCGAGTTGGAAATGAAAAACTGGCCATAAAACATGCATCACATAACCTTAGTAAAGTTGGGCTCATGTGGTGACCCTTGGTGACCTTTGGTGACCTGACCTGTGACCTGACCTGGTATGACCAGTGACCTCTAATAGCAACATATGTATGTACTAGACAACTGACGTCTTATCGCTGATTTTCGACAAAATGCGTTTTACTCGGTGTTATAGCGCTTTCCCTAGAAGCCCCGTGAACGGTGAAACATTTTATCTTTGACCTGACCTGTGACGTCATCGGTGACCCCGAGGTCAATGAAATTTGGTTTCCCTTGACAAATTTGACAGGGCTATCGAACGCCGTTTGCATTTTCCGGATCCGTCCAGTAGTTTCGGAGATACGGGGGGGGGGCAAAAAAATGCCCCCCCCCCCCTCCCCACCGCGCGGAAGGTGGCTGGTAGGCCCACCGCCTGCCGGGTTAATTTGGTACGTTTGCATTGGTCGTATCTACATGTATGGAGAATGGAGATGCAGACATTATAGGCCTTATGCAATATGCATGAGCCACATCTTCGTCAATATTAACAAAAAAGACGTTCTTTTGTTTTTCTTTCTCGGACACTTCGATTGCATTTGAAGGAAACATCACACTGAATGAAACTTCCAAATTGAGGCGTGTGTTTTTTTCGAAGGTTGGCCGCTCACCGGGCTGACACGGTCCCTGGGTGTTCCTCAGGTAGCACGTGCCGTCCTCAGGGTTCAGCACGGTGAATCCCCACTGGTCGTCACAGGTGCACACAGATGTTCTCAGCACGTTCACGAACAGTTTGCTCTTGTCGCACGGGCCGCGGGTGAATTCCTCGTAACACTTGTCATCAGCAGGCCAGAAGAAGTGGCCCTCTGAAGCAGTGGAGGGAGGTGCAGCGGTTAGAAATGGCCCTCTGCGGCTAAGGGAGATAAAGCGTTTGGAAATGTCCCTTTGCGGTAACAGGGAGATAGAGTGGTTAGAAATGGCCTACGGCGTGGAGAGAGAGAGAGAGAGAGAGAGAGAGAGAGAGAGAGAGAGAGAGAGAGAGAGAGAGAGAGAGAGAGAGAGAGAGAGAGAGAGCGAGAGAGAGAGAGAGAGAGAGAGAGAGAGAGAGAGAGAGAGAGAGAGAGAGAGAGAGAGAGAGAGAGAGAGAGAGAGAGAGAGAGAGAGAGAGAGAGAGAGAGAGAGAGAGAGAGAGAGAGAGAGAGAGAGAGAGAGAGAGAGAGAGAGAGAGAGAGAGAGAGACGTGATAAATGGCTCTCCGCGGTGGCACGGAAGAAGCGAGCTGAGGGTCACCGTCCCGTCTCCCATATCCATATGCAGCAGCGGGGAGATGGCGGAGTGACGACTGCTCCGCCAAACACCAGCGCATACCGGCACAGTATACCTGCCAGGCATCCGGTCCCCGAGACCGCAATGCCGAAGTTAACGCCAACGACAGTCGATATGCAGCGTTTCGCAAGATGAAAAGGTTATCTTTAAATAAAAAATAACCAGTATAGCGCCTTTTGGGGCGACTAACGGAGCGAGCGAGGGGTTGAGTCTTGCACGTGCGAAATTTCGAGGGGGCACCTCCAACTGACTCGTGCACGGCACCCTAATGACCGGTTTCTAGCGATGTGCCAAATTTGAGCACAATCGGCCCAGCCGTTCTCGAGATCTGGGAGCGGCACCCTGCACGTGCGCACGTGCAAAATGGGTCCCAACTGACTTGTGCACGGCACCCTACTAACTGGTCCCTAACCGTGTACCAAATTTGAGCGCCATCGGTCCAGCCGTTCTCGAGATCTGGAAACGACCCCTGCACGTGCGCACGTGCAGCAGCACCCCAACTCTGGCACATGGATATGCAGTGCCTAGTGGGTGCCTACCTACATACCAACTTTCAGCGCAATCGGCCAAGTAGTTACCGAGATATTGCAACAATTACAAAACTGACACCTCTTCGTTTTGCACGTGGCACGTGCATAAGGGGTCACCTATATGCATCGGGAATGGTCCAATACTTGGTAGAAGGAATGAAGCTACCCTACAAAAATTACCGCGTGTAAATCGGTCAAGTGGTTGCTGAGATATAAGCCTCGCAAAAGCGTCCGCACGGCCGGCCGGCCGGCCGGCCGGCCGGCCGGCCGGCCGCTCATACTCAGAAATTTCCGTTAATCTAAGGAAAGACTTCGCTCGCTTCGCTCGCTCCGTAACCAAACATCCGACCAATGAATGTTTTATAAGTTTTGAACTAACGGCTGGCATCTATTTTGTCGTCTGTCTTTAGTTCATATCTTGTTATTTTCCATTGTCATAACTCATAATGCCATAGGTATCATCTCCTGGCTCAAACGTATAACAAAACGACGCCTGAATCGAGTCACACCGAATCGGTGCGTGACATGACCTAACGTCACCATGCGCTCACTGACTGGGGCAACAGACGGGTATCCTGTTCTGTGTGCTGCTCCAGATAAACCAGTGTCCTGGCGGGCAGATGGCCTGGTCGTAGAGGCGGTAGCAGCGGCCGTCCAGAGGCCAGCGCACGGTTGGCTCCAGGTAGCTGGAGACGCGATCTGACGGGGCGTATTTCTCACACCCGCAGACCGGGCCTGAGTCGGTCTGGATCAGTAGCTCGGTGTCGTTGCACGGGCCTCGGGTGAGCTCCTGTCGGACGGTAGGTGTCGTTACACGGAGGGTGTCGTTACACGGACCCCGGGTGAGCTCCTGTCGGGCAGTGGATGTCGTTACACAGAGGGAGACGTTGCAAAGAGGAAGACGTTACACGTAATGACACCCGCTGGTCACTTAGTACAGTGACCAGTGGGTGTCGTTACACGGTTAATTCAATCACCCATAAGGCTTAATTTTGCACCTTGTAAATATACGCTACTGACTACCCCTTACATTCCAGATAGGGTCACCATTCCACGAAGACGATCGCGTCGCGCCTCCGTTGTAACTCACCCTATAGAACTGCCCATCCTCTGGCCACCGGTAGAGATTCTCCACACAGTGGCGGCAGTCTGTGCGGGCCCGGATACACCGGTTTACAGCGGTCACCAGCAGAAAGCCAGGGGGACAGCCGCACGTATATCGCTGCTCCCGCTTGTCGAACACCATGAAGAACCCCTCGGGGCACGGGCCTGTGGGATGGACAGTTTTGGCATTCGTTCCTTCGGGAAAGGTAAGGGTCTAGGCTGCATATGAAATGCGCTTAACATCAACACAAGCGTGAGAGACTCCGTGATAATGGTCCCAGATTAAATTGATTGAGCTGAAACGTTTCTGGGCGACAATACGTTTAAACGGAATAGCATGGCTGCAACACAGCATGGAAAGCTATCTGATGAGTGATGCAGAGACAAGAATAAACGATTACAACTTAAAGTTGTTAGCGTCAGTTTTATAGCTGCCCGCATCATATTTGTGGATGATGTTATCGAGGACGAACGTGACCGAAGCGTCTCACCTTTGGCGACGCAGTCTCCCTGTATGAAGACGCTGTTGTCTGGACACTCGGCCTGCGTGTACTCCTGGTAACAGCGGCCGTCGCTGCCCTGGTGGAACCCGGACCGACAGCGACACTCGGCCGGGCCAGAGTCCGACTCACATATCACCTGTGGGAGGCGACAGCGCCGGGTGGTTACAGATGCGCGGTCACAGTCTCTGCACTGCTGCATGAGGGATTGGGACCGTAACGGAGTTCAACGTGTACATATTTGAATATTTATATTCGGATATATAGTTTGTGGTCAGTGGGTAAGATATCAGAAATGTCCCGGGGCCTCGATTTGAGGTGAAGAAGAAGGGAACTAACTTGTTTTAGGCACCCACTACTGACGACCTTACATCGATAGTTGGCACCAACAGATCTGTAGCATGATCTTTTTTCCAGCACATCAGAAAACATCGGCATCTTACCGTCATTAGCGGTAATATTTATTCCGAAAACCCACTTAGCACTCAGCATCATAATCCGAAACACACACAGGCACAGGTCATTCGCTACATATCATTGGTAATTTCATTGGCTGACATGCTGTGCTGAACTGTAGGGGAAGCTCGCTCCCCACCGAGGCTCTCGTAACTTACCCCTCCCGGACCGCAGGGGCCCGGTGAGAAGCGCAGGTAGCACACGCCGTCGGTCCACGCCAGGTGGCCGGGGCGACAGGCACAGCTGACTGGCTCACTGGCGGTCACGTTGACTTGGATGATGTTCCCCTCCGGACAGGGGCCTGAACAAAGGTCAGCAATCAGGTCAATGCTGAGATCACCGAGTCAAGTTAATGTTCAGGTGACCTATGCAGATCACTGGGTCAGCTAAGCAATAAATAACGCTGCTGTCCATTTTTATATATCTTATAATGGTAAAAGAATGCGCGTATAGGTATGTAAGCAACGCAATCACGACTGTGAAAATAATGCTGAATAATAAATATCGCACGGAACTTGCATATAATGATGCTCCTAACTCTCTTGATAATCTTTTCGAGTCCAGATATGTATGTAGTTCAGTGCGTCTCAGTTCTCATCCTTTCAGAAGATCTTTACAAACACCTGACTCGCACCAGCACCGTTCACATAGTCCATGCTCACGTTTACACGATGACCACGTCATTAACCACGTGCAGTTTAGTGTCCCGGGTGCGTTGACCCCTGCAGCCAGCGCTGATATCGTGCATTATTTCCGTGTCATCCCATGCAGCTGACCGGGTATAGGGTGGACGGGTCCCGCTACAACACGGGCGCCCGACTGATGGTGGCAGCAGACAACAGCTGGCAGACACGGCCCGGCAGAGGTGCTGTCGTGTGACCCCGTTCGGGAGGGCTGCAATGTTGAGTGTGTGCCCTGATGGTGCGGGTCTGACCCCGTAGAGATAAAAGTCTGGCTAGGGAATATAGTGGTTTAATTATCTCTTGGGAAATTTAATTCCGGGTCAGATGATAGGGATGGTGCTGGTTTGATCCCGGATAAATGCTAGTCTAGCTTGCCTAAGCCTTCGTGATGTCATTAGAACCCAACATCGAAGTGGTCCGAAATTTATTTGACATTTTCTCCCTGCACGCCATCCCATGCCTCTACAATGTTCATTGTAACGATTTAATATGTGCGTTTCTAGAAGATGTGTACCTACACTTCAATGTAACCAAATGGTTGATGGACGGCTAGGGGATGACAATAAAATTTTGTGCATCAACAACAATTGTCTATATAAGAGGAATAATTTTGTGTTAGTTATATGCTCTCCTCACTCACCTTGTTTTCCGATGGGTATGCACTGACTGGTGGCCGGCCAGAAGGCGTTCCCCTGCGGACAGTGGAGGCTCTCGGACACTGTGATGGTATGTGTGGTCGCTGTCGTCACCGTCTCCAGCTGCGGCTGCAGCGGCTGTCTCGACGTCGGACGCACCGCCTCGATCACCCGCCGGAACTGAGGAGCATCGGCGCGACGCGCCATCACCGGTCGGTATCTGACGGCGTCCTCGGGACCGAAGAAGGTGTGCACGGCTGACGAGTGGTTGAACGTGCCGGCAGCCGAGGAGGTGGTCGGGGTCTGCGGCAGGTCCAGCGAGGTCTCGGGCACGCTGGCAGTGACCAGCTCCGGTCGACCGGTGCCTTCAGTGTGCGGTGTTACCTCCAGGGAGCTGGCGGTGACCACAACGGGCTGAGCGGTGGACGGGGGCTGCGGCTTAGCTCCTTCAAACGACATCATCGACCCCACGGTGGAGACGAAGGTGGAGTGGTTAGCAGGCACGATCAGACGCATCACCGGACTCATCGGACCGCCGAACACCCGCTTACCGACGATAGTCTGCGCGGGGCGCTGGGGAGAACCCACTGTTCCCGTCACCACCACCAGCATCATCACCAGTGTCACCACATGGCTTCCCCATCGGCGGAGCATCACTGTCACTAAGAGCGCCATCACCACGTCCGTTTGCGGCGGCGTGCCGCAGCTTACTCGCTGCCGAGCTCCGGCGCGGCGGGTCCTCGCACCAGTCTCGCCTCGCTTCACTCGCCTCTTTACCTCGCACGCCCCACCTCCCTCTGCACCATCCAAGCGCTCTCCTCGCGACGCTCCAACCTGCGCGCTCGTCCTCACGTCTTACACTGAAGTGCCGCCTCGCCGTGCGCCCCAGCTCACCCTCACTCGCACTAGACTGCCCAGCACGGCTCGCGTCAGTCCCAGCTAACGGTGTGAGCCGTCCGGCCGCCCTGGCCGCTTCGCTCTGATGCCGCTCCCTCAGCGGGGAGCTGCGATCGTCCGTCTCGCCGCCGGCTTCCGCTGCTCAGCCGGCCGTGACGCCGGTACGGCGCCGACAGACGTCACGGTAAGACGTCACGGCTACCGACGGACGTCACGGCAACGACGTGACGGCCGCGAGAGGGTCACGGTGGCCGTTGCTGAGTAGTGGACACAGTCACAGAGAGATAAACCGTGGTGGACACCTTCAATCAGGCTTCAGTCACGAGCTAGGGCATCCGTGGGAGCCACGGTGGGCTAAGTCACGGTGGACTAGGTCACGGTGGTTGAAGTTACGATGGATGTGGTCAAAGCGGCAACGGCGTGGCATTTGTTTGTTACCGTACCCCGCTTTTCACAGTGAAGTGAACACAATGATGCATAGTCACATCGCCACTGACATGGTTTACAAAGACGCCACAGAAACACTGTGTCAGCGGTAACGCTACTCTAAAACCTAGGGTAGCGTTTCAGTCGACTAAGGTGGCAATGTCCCTTTATCAAGCCGTGAAATAGGGGCTGTCGCTGACCGCACTGGCACAAATGTGACAAACAACAGGCGATGGTCACAGCGAAGCGGGGCGACGTCGTTATTCGGTCACGGTGACACTCCGTCACGCCGGTCAGCTGTCACGCCGTCTACGACTCCAATATGCAGATGATAGGGACTGCGCCATCACCGATTCGGAGGTTTTTAACACTACCTAGTACCTACATACATCTTGCGGCCAGCTGTATAGAATCATACATCAAACGGCGGTGACGTTATTTGTACATACATACGTACATAATAGCGTACTGACCCGTGTAGGCATATGCAGCACACTGCATTGGCGTTATAATCGAGTCGATTTCTGTCATGGCCGGCGGAACTTGAAAAATAGCATGCACACAGACTGCACACATCTTAAGTTCATCCAGACAAACCTCCCTAACGCATTAGTAATTGCTAGTGTTCGTGAAAGGTAGGTATGGCAAGTTCCTCTCAAGCGCATTAGGCATTCATTTAACCCGCGCCCTGCTGGGGGGGTGTTTGAACACCCCCCTTGTGGTTTTTCGCGAATATCTCAAAAACGGCGGCGCGGAGCGCCGCCGTTTTTGGTACACCTTATCATGCATCAATTCTACACATGTTGTGAAAATTTCAGACCAAGGTCATTCAAGGTCAGGTCACCAGGTCACTTGAAGCGACCTCACCTCATAAAAACTTTCAATGTCTGTCATAGCTACACCGAGTGACCGATCGCTTTGAAACTTTCAGCGATTGCTAAGAGCAATAGCATGTACAAAATGTATATCTCATAATTTTGATATCGATGACCTAAGGTCAGGTCAATTTTGCGACCTCCCCATTATAAGTCAATGGGAGAAAATTGAAATGCGCCTCTTTTGGATGAAAGACATTATAAACACTCCCAAACACCGAATTACAAGTGGTTTAGACACACTGAACTTGAAAATGGTGTCCGTGACCCTTGTTTATGCCCTGAGGTCATCTTAGGTCACGAATGGTATCTAACAGTTTTTCGCAAATAACTTTTGATAGAGGCATGCTAGAGCGCTGAAAACGCCTTAGATGTGTTCAGCTCGACGATACGGATCGACTGATATGCAACATGACCCTTTCCGGTCAGGTCATGACCTTGACCTGAGGTCAAATTTTCAAGTTGACCTTTCAAGGTCAAGTCATAGTTCATTCGATGCGTCTTGACGAGAGGAACACGATGCCGGTAAAAGTAAGCTCGTACAAGGCTTGGGTCAAAAGTTATTACAGAAAAACTGTTTTCGAAAAAATCGTCTATTTTTGCAGTTTTTGACCCCTGCAGGCAAAACTTTTGACGTTAGGTCAAATCTGAGAGAAGTACTCAGAAAGGGCGTTAATAGGGCTATCGAATGCGCTTTTCCGCGGCGCTGTAGCTCTATTGGTTCCCGAGTTATGCGTTGGCTTCTTGGAAATTTTCGACATTCGACCTGGAAATCGGCGAAATTTTGCCTTCAATGACCTCTGGTGACCTGACCTTTGACCTAACCAAAAAATTGACCGAAGTGATTTCGTCATTATTTTTTACGCTCTTTCGAACGCCGCCTTCCGCGTATCGCTACGTGGCCCAGGAGCCGAGTTACAAGGGGGGGTGTTCAAACACCCCCCCCCCCCCAGCAGGGCGTGGAAATCCAGGACCCCCAGCAGGGCGCGGGTTAAAACAAGCATTACCTTCGCGCAAGTGAGAATCTTCTTGTGAATAGAATTGTGTCCTACAGAAGCGTACATGCCTCATCGTGCTAAAATGCACTGCACGCAGCAAGTTTCCGGCTTCGCTCACACATTGTGCTACGAACCAGAAGAAATGGACAGCGACTTGACGCGGGCTCTATGCATACCAAGCATAAAGTCTCGGTGCATTCCCAAAGTTTTCTTGAATTAAAAGCGATTATCTCTGGAATGGCGCCAACAAGTCATCGTAGTTGCATCATTCACCTACGTTAATTCTTACCGTGGGACCAAAATCATCATTAACAAATTACATGGTCCCGAGCCGTGCCACCATTTCTCTGTGGTGCAGTGTATTACCCTATTTCCGCATTCGGGCGCCGTCATCTTCATTATTCCTGCGTCAGTTTTATATCGCGGCCCGTCCGTGGATGCCACCGCTGACTAGCGAACCGTAACGCCCACCCCAATGAGCACGCACCGTGAATTTCGTCAACGGCGGAAAACCTCACCACCGCGTCTGGCTGCCGCTAACTGTGAAGACATCACTTCCACAGTGTATTGTCGCGACGCGTCGTGAGTTCCACACCGGTAATTAGGACAGGCTGTTGGGTCTAGTTGTCGGCGCAGACGCGGTGGCGTCGTGACCGTGACTTTGGCGGAGGGTGCCGCTGCGAACCTCATGACCCAGAGAGGTGGCAGATTGGAGCGGAAAGGGTCAGCCGAGCGGTGACCCGTTTGACCCGGCTGTACGAAGGAGTGAACGCGTGACAAAACATATTTATATAAAATCTTATTGATTTCTGTATAGTTACGCTCACATTACTGAACTAGCTGGGGGTGTTTTTACAAAAAGGTAACGAGTTGATTCGAATGACAACTGATTCGAATGACAACTATCGGCCAATTTAAGGCTTTGAAATACTCATGAATACCCATTTGAGTTCTCACTTTGAAATACAGCAAGATACAGAGTCCGGGAATGCAATGTAGGCATTTTGGTTCGGTATAAAAGACGGGATCGCACTTCATCGACTATTTTAACTATGATAACGAATGCGTAACAAGTTGTTCTCCCACATACGCAAGTTGGGTAGGTACTGCCTGCGTTGTTCTTCACTTCTCTCGCGACACCGCTTTTCGGACATTGACATTCGTTTGTTTACTTAATTTTGTACGTTTCTTTTCACACTGCTGTCATGTGAACACTTAGTTTTGTACGTTTCTTTTGACACTCCTGTCGTAAACACTAAATTCTGTACGTTTCTTTTTACACTCCTATCATAAACACTAAATTTTGTACGTTTCTTTTCACACTCCTGTCATAAACACTAGCATTTCAAATCGTGTGTTCGATGACATACCTATACCTGCTCTATGTATAACATTATACGCAAAGTATTCATTTATTACAATGTATTCATGAGATGATCTGTATGTAGATTTTCGTGATTGTAATCAAAACGTGATGAATTTAACCTTCGCCCCAGTGGGGGGGGGGCATATGTTACCACCCTGTCGCGTTTTTTGCGTGTGAATAATAAACCGCGGCGCGTAGCGCCGCGCCGCTTGGGGTAGCTTTTGGTATATCAATTTTGGACAATGTGTGAATTTTTTGACCCCAGCTCATGTCAGGTCAGGTCACCAGGTCAAGTTAACTGACCAAGCCTAAAAAAGTTTGCAATCATGTCCAGCCTGCAGTGTTTGTCAGAAAGGTTTTAAACTTGGTGGATTGAATGCTGTTATAGGCGTCTACAATTTGTATAGGGTAGAGTGGGGCAAAGCGCCCAGGGCGGGTAAAACGCCCACCCCTCTTTTTTGTGAAATTCTCGACTTTTCAAAGAATCCTTGATAGCCATTTTCAAGAACACTCAGGAGTCTGCTTGTACTCCCTTTTTTTGGTTCCACAAGTAGGGTGTCCTGGACGTAAGATAAAGATTAGTATATTTCTGACATTTTTTTTTAGGAATTACATGCTACCTTACTGCTAAAACTTTGTCTGATAGAGATTAAAGAAGGCAATGAAATATCGCTATGTCGAACCTGTAGCTTTAAGCTACGTTTGGAGCATGTATTTTGTTTACAACACAATCTGACAGGGCTGATTTTGGTGGACTTTATCTTGAATGTGCTGTTGGGGTAATACGCCCACTTTGGCGTGGGGCAAAGCGCCCATCATGGGCCAATGGGAGTTATACAGCACGGGTAACTGCGAGCATTTTGGGCTCAACGTGAGTGGCGGGATACGTTTCTAATACTCAGGATTCTGATTAAATATGCAATTTTCTGGTTAGTATTGTCTGGAACGATTTATTCGCAAGAACTGATCCCCGCTCCCCAAGGCAATGACAGGCGTTGACTGAATAAGGAGTAGGGTGGCGACAGCAGTGCTTAGGATGTTTTTTTATGGTGTTATCTGTCGAGTTGAAGTCTAACGAAATGAGGAATGGATGAATGCTACATTATTTTGCCAGAGTATCAAAAGTGTGATGAAACTTTCAGGATTGGGCGTTATGCCCCACTCACATGGGCGTTATGCCCCACGGGTGGGGCAAAACGCCCGATTTGTAGTCCTCTCAAATCGTACGGCATATCTAAAAAACTATGCATCCCACATGTTTTTGATGTGTTACCGTAAGGTGGGGCTATTTGAGACGGTGGGGCTATTTGAGACAGTATTTAAAATTACTATAAAATAAAAACCACTTAAAATTTATGCTTCATTTTTTGCTCAGGCGATTTACTGCTCGATTCCACACCTCCCTGAGCAAAAATATCACACAAAAAAATCAAACGATCTTCATTTTATAACGATTTTAAATACTGTCTCAAATAGCCCCACTGTCTCAAATAGCCCCACTTTACGGTACTCGAAGAAAGCATAGGTATACCATAGCTAGGTATACCATAGGTATACCATAAGTATACCTATGTACTATGGTATACTATACCATAGCTACCGGATCAGCTACCTGGTTGTCCTTCAAATTTGCAAGATAAAGAGATACTGAGGCTGGAAAGTTAGGGTGGGCGCTTTGCCCCACCCTACCCTATCTCGGATTTTTTATATCCGTGACCTAAGGTCAGGTCAGTGGCGTGACCTTTCCATTACAAGTCAATGGAGAAAAATGAAAATGCCTCTAGATCCGTGTGTACGCATAGGAACAGTCCACATATTTCAGAATCACAATGATTTGGACCACTTGTGATGA